CTCCTGCCTAGCGTGTGAGGTCGTAGGTTCAGTTTCTGGCACTGACAAAGACAGCAGCTGCCAGGGATTCCTGAGTGGACCTCGTGCCCCATACACATGTGCACACAATGGATAATTTACAAGCAACTGGGTGGCAATATTACTTTGTATTCTTTCCTTGGTCTTGGTGCAGCTTTCTAAATCTCTAGAGTCAAATCTTTATGGATTTCCATTTAGATGTCTAATAGAAAACTCCAATAACTCACGTGCAATCTGGTGACCTCCTGGTCTTCCATCCCAAAACCTTCTTTATCTGCATCTTTCCTGACACTGGCCAGTCTGTCGGTTACTTCATCCCCAGATCTTAAACCATCCCTGACTCCTTGCTCTGGCAGTGTACCCCAGACATCCAGTCCACTGGTGAATTCTGATGCCGTGCCTGTAATGATAGCTGTGCCCAGCTGTTTCTCATCTCACTCACTGCCTCCATGGACCGGGAATTATTACTATCACGTGGGTCTTTACCGCCCTCTCCCACCCGTGCGCCTCCTGCCAAGCGCAGCTTCCAGCCTTCCGTGTTGCACGTGACCCGTGCTCCTCCCTCGGCTCCAGTCACGTTCCCTCGCTTCCCCCAGCGTCTCCGGCGCTCCTTCCCAGTCCACCTTCACTTGCTGTCTTGAGAATGGACACCCTCGGCTATTTTAAGTTGTCATCTTGGCTCGGATAACATCCCAGAAAAGTCTGTTCTGTGGGTCTCACTTAAAACCTGTTCCACTGAGTTTTACTGTCCTGATCAGTAATTTTCAGCAGCCTTTAGCTCATCCTAACATTCTGTTACTAGTCTTTTTTACTTTAATTTTTATTATTGTTGTGCATGACGAGGGCAGAAGTAAGCATGCACACACCGTGGCGTCTAAGTAGAAGTCAGGTAACAGCTTTGTGGAGCCCCTTCTCTCCTTCCACCTTCACAGGGTGTGGTGGTTTGAATGAGAACGGCCCCCATAGGCTCGTATGCTTGAATACTTGAGCCCCAGTTGGTGGAACTGTTTGGGAAGGATTAGGTGGTGTGGCCACATGGTAGGAGGCTTGTCACTGAGGGTGGACTTGAGATTTTAAAAGAATTGTTCCATTCCCAGTGTGCCTCTCTGCCTCCGAGTTGCGGTTTGAGATTTGAGGTCTCAGCTGTACCCGCCACCATGCCTTTGCCCCACCATCATGGTCTCTAGTATGCTGAAACTGTAAGCTCAATTAAATGCTTTCTTCTATAAGTTACCTTGGCTGTGGCATTTTACAACTGCAATAGAAACCCGACTAAGATAAATGGGGTCTGGAGATCTGACTGAATGCAGCAGGTTTGGTGGCAAGTTCCTTACCTGTAGAGCCATCTCGTCAACCCACTGTCGCTAGTCTCCCCTCCCCCACATGGGGCTGTAAGCTTCATAACATAAGAGGTTTTTACTTGTGTGTTTTCAGCACCTAAAACAATGCCTTGCATGTAGATGAAAGTAAAAAGGATTTTTGAAATGGTCTTAACGTATTCCACAGGCTAGGCTTGAGCTTGCTGTGCAGCTCAAGTCGTTGAACTCACGGCTCTCCTGCCTTAGCCTCAGGCTACAGGTGTGCTCCCTTTTAGGTGGAAGGCTCCGCTCCAGCCCGCCCCCCTCTCCCTACCCTGCCCCTGAGAAAGACTGCCAGGTGCTGGCTCCTTCCCCTGAGAGCACAAGGTCATGCTTACAGGGCATTTAAGACCCAGGCCATAGACCTGCCACGTGATTTCTTCTCCCCTCCCCCACCCTGCCAAGATCACCCAGGAGTTGCTTTGCTCTGATTAAGCCTGGTCTCATTAATTCAGCCTGATCCAATTTATTGCATCTGTGGAGAGACTTAATATTGGGATATGGAAACCTTTCAATACCACCATATCCAGGTTCAATAAATATTTTAATCAAATTGTAAGAAAGGTATTTAAAAACAAAACAAAACAAAAAGCCCACTTTCCTTAAGAATAACAACCATACAGTAAACTATAGCGATTTGAGATATAGCAGTGAGTTTTGAGCTAGGTGTGCACGTATACAACCTCTACCACAGCCGGGAAAGTTAGTCTGTCGCCGTCCTGTCTGCCCGTGTCTGTCTCTGTAATCCCAGCCATGGGAAGAAGGGCTGTGAGGACTGGCACTTACAGCCGCCTTCAGCTGCAAGGCGAGCTGGAGCTACGCTGCAACCCTGTCCCCCCCAAACCAAGAGCAGTCTCCTCATGTGTCTCCGTGATGACCTCCTGCCTTCTGAGCAAGTGTCGCGCCCAGCACTGACCTGCTTCCATCTCTTAGCTCACGTCTTCTGGAAATCCATAAATAGAACCCATATTCCACAGTCGTTCTCCTCCAGCTCCCTCCCTTCGGCCCAAGCGTCTCAGACGTTCCCTGGTGTCCCTTCTCCTTTCCTGTACCGTGCTGTGGTTGGGATGTAGTCACCATATTGATTCTCATTCTGTTGGGGTTGGGAGACAGTGAAGCCTTTAAGTCAGAGGAGCCAGGCAGCAGAAGGTTGAATCATTGGGGTGCTTTTTATTTGTTTGTTTGTTTAAATGCAGGACCAGTCCTGTGTATTGTGTTATAACATCAGAAGCTATCTACTGGTATCTGGCCACACATTAGCAGACATTTGAGTTGTTTCCAATTTGGGGCTATAAAAAAAATGGCCATGAATGTTTATATACAATGTATATCATTGCCAGACATAAGCCCGTCTGAAAAGGTCAGAGAACTTACAGGGATCGATTCTTTCTTTCCACCATGTGAGTCTTGGGATTGAATTTAAGTTGTCAGACTTGGCAGCGAGCAGCTTTACACACTTTGCCTTCTTGTTGGCCTATCAGCTTCTATTATTATTATTATTGTACATGTACACAATATACACAATAATATACATGTTTGTATATGTAAATGCATATACATATATATGTGTATATATTGTTTTTTTCCTTTGAGACAGGGTTTCTCTGTGTAGCTTTGGTGCCTGTCCTGGAGCTTGCTCTGTAGACCAGGCTGGCCTCGAATTCACAGAGATCCACCTGCCTCTGCCTTTCCTAGTGCTGAGATTAAAGGCGTGGACCACCACCGCTGGCTAATAAGTATATTTTTAAAGGCATTCTTGGGTTTCATCTGTAATTGTGTCAGGATCTGTCCATCATCTTAGAGAAACTTGGTAGCGTGATTCTGTTTATTCTCAGAGTGCATGAATATAGTACAGTTGTGGTATCTGTAGGTGATTGAAAAATACCAAAACCCATCGGCGCGCCAGTCTCATGGACAAACGGCCGCTCACACCCTCTTGTGCTCTTTATGCCATCTCTGCCCTACTCGGAACACCAGCAGGCAGGGTGCAGGCAGGTAAACAGTTGTCGCGCTGTGTTGTCTACGGACAAAGGGGGAGAAGCCTGTACGTGTTCAGCACAGGCATGATGTTTCTAATGCAGGTGTCTAGTCTTGTGGATGTAGCTGCGCAGGTGCGGGAGCTGCGCGGGTGCGGGGCTGCGCTGGTGCAGGTCCATGCGAGTCCTTGAAAGAAGGTTCAGAGACACTAAGAATGGATTTATTTTTTTGTGGCTGCGGGAGCTCCAGTCTCAACGGACTGAAACACTTTCCCTCCGCCCAGGGCATCTTTACTTTTCTCCCCATATTTACAATTAAGCCCATTGGTTCCCATTTGCTCAAAACAACCCGAACAAAGCTTCAAAAAAGAAAAAAAACCCACAATGCCAAGTGCAAACTCTCCACTCATCAGGTAACCACGGTTTGCCAGGCTTCCTGAACCAAGCAGGCATAGGCTTTGTGTCCTTGGGAACTCAGACAAGATTCACACAGGGCAACAAAAGGTATCTGCTAACCAAAGATGGATTAGAGCTGGGTGCTCACTTCAGAGCAAGACCAGGTGGGAATGCTGTCATGGTCTGGTGGTCTAGTGAATGCAGTGTCAGTTGAAAGTACAGCTTTCCAGTGTGCAGACGAAGGCTGAACATGCATCTCTTCCTGTGCTTAGACTTTGGGAATTCTTTTCAGCAAGACTTTGTGATGTACCCCTTACATAACTATAGGATTTAGCTCTAAAAGATTACATTTTATGCTACTAAAGATGGTATTTTAAAATTGTAATCTTCACTTTATTGTTGAGTGTCTAAAAGTACATTTGATTCTCCTATTTTGGCCTCATATTCTGAAATCTTATGACGTTGACTTATGAGTTCTAGTGAGTTTATTTTAGGGTCTAGTTTCCTACACATGTGGCCATGCCTTCTGTAAAATTTTCCTTTTTCCTCTCTGGGCACTTTTGATTTCTTTTTCTTGTCTTATCACATTGGCTCAACCTACAAGTAATGTGTGAGTGGTGAGATTGGATGTCCAAGCCAATAAAAAAGCATTTGTCATGGTACTACCCGAAGTTCTTCCGTAAATACCCTGTCGGGTTGCACAAACTTCTTTTCTGTGACTGATGTCTCAAAAAAACATTTGGGAACGTACTTTGGATTCCTCATGCTGCTTCTGAGGCTACTGCCACGATTGTGAGGGTTTCCTTTTTAAATGCTTTTTCTTTTAGTGGCTTGCGTTGATTTTCCAATGTTGAAATGGCCTGTGTCTTTGGAACAGACTGCACCTGGTGTTTGCGGCTTTTCACTTATCCTCACCATTTCCTTTCTCCTGCTTTCAGTTTGATTGGCTCTTCCTTTTCTAACTTCATAAGGTGGTGACTGAAGTTGTCGACTGGAGACTTCTTTTCCTACAGTCTTTTAAAATACTGTTTCCCATCCTGTGGTTGCTAGAGTTTGAGTGTGAGCAACCCTTTAAAACAGATGTGTCGGAACCTCCACCCGCATGGTCGCGTTCAGAAGTGAGCACGTGGGGAAGAGGTTAAACATGAGCCTTCGCCCTCGTGGGAGGCTTTAATGCTCTTAGAAAAGAAGCCGAATGCCCTCTTACTTTTGTTTTTGTCTTTCTGTTTTCCCCACGCCTGCAAATACACAGGTTTATTTCATATGGAGGACATAACAGAAGGTACTGCCCTTGAAACAGAGGTCTCACACCAGAAGCCAGATGCATCACTCACTCCTGCCAGCGTAGCCCCTAAAGCTAAGGAAGGTATGCCTCTGTTGTGTATGAACTTCCCAGCCAGCCATGTTCTTTCACGGCACTGGGAAGAGACGGAGACCATTGCGGGTTCATTTTCATTCACTGCGATATCTTTTCTAATTTCCCTTTCTTAAAAAAAAGTCTAAAGATACATTGCATTTTACCTTATTTATTATATGTGTTGGTGTGAGCATGTATGGCCCAAGACATGCGAAAGGCAGCCCACTGGAGCGGTTCTTGTTTTCCGTCATGTGTATCCTAGGCTTGAACCAAGACCGTTAACACTGAAAGCACTCAGTTCTGCAGAACCCTGTGGCCTCATCAGGTCTTGTGCCCGCTGAGGAGCTACAAGGTGCTCATACTGACTCATTTCCCCAGAGAGCCCAGGCTGCACCATGCATTCCTCCCACTCGCATTGTTGCTGCACAGGACCACCCCTAGACCTTGACCCTGCAGACCCATGCAGCATCCACACAGCTGAGACTTCCCAAGACTACTAAAACCCACAGGTGTTCGTCGTTACTAGACTAGTCTTACAGGAAATGCTGAAGGGGGCTTACGACACAAGCGAAAGAATAGTGAGCGTCACAGAAGAGAACAAAACTCAGCAGTGGAAGTAAATGCACACAAGAGAAAGAGAACCAAATCCCATAAATACAGGATCCTATTGGAGCACAAAGATAAACAAGAAACACTACGTACATGTATTGAAATGCTACTCTATACCCCACATATACTATTTTGATATGTCAAAAACTGAGCTTGCTTATTCCAAACATTAGGGGAGTTTCCAGCTGTATTAAGGGGAGTTCTTAGTAGAGGCTGGGGCTGGAGCTCAGGTTTTTTTCCTGCTAAGCCCACATTCTAGTCCTGAGCTATACCCTCAGCTCCACCTTCTGCAGACTAATACACATTTGTCTTTATTTGTGTTTTTAATATCTAAGATGAGTGTCTTGCAGGATGCATACAGTTGGAAATAAGCTTCCCTCGAGTTATTACATTCTTTATTTAGATGCCACAATTCCTCACTTTATTGTTAACTATTAAATAACTTTAACAATATTTTTATATTTACCCCACTTTTAATGCTTATTTTCTCATAAAGGCAGATCTGAATTTTAGGTCCCCTCCACTAGCTTTTCCATCAACAAAGTTGTAGAATATATCTAGCCCCTGGTTTATGACATTTTTTCTGGGTATGGGGAACATGATGGCAAGCAAGTCAAAGTTCCGCCAAGAAACTCCCATTCTGGTGGGGGAGCGTGTTCACAGGCCGAAACAGGGCTTTACTCTGTAGCCCAGGCTGGCCTCAAACTTGTAATCCTCCTGTGTTAGCCTCTTCAGTGCTGAGAGTTTAGGGGTGTGGCATCACAGCCAGCCACAGGAAGCCCATGTCAGTCCCTGCCTTCTGAGCGCTTCCTTGGATCACACAATCACTTTTCCGTGTCTGGATGAGCTGCAGTTTCACAGGAGTGTGCAGGCGCTGGAAGTTTAGAATAAGTCCGCATAGGCTGAGAGCAGTTCTAACACACAAGTACTGACTGCACTCTCATACAGCAACAAAAAACTGGAGCCTGACAGTTGAGAAATCTCTTTACCTTTTCTCTCACCCACAGGCCACAAGGAAGCAAGACAAACACCAGAAAAGTCATAGGAAAACTCTGGCCACCTTCCAACCATCATGGATCAAAAAACAAACAAAGCTGAGATATTCAAACAGTCTACTTCACAGCAGTCTGCAAAGGCCAGACCTCTTCCTCCAACGAGAGCACTGACCCCTTAGGACTCGCCAAGAAGACGTTAGGGTCACACCACCAGTAACCCCTAAGGGAATACCGTATTTCAAGGGCCCCCCAAAGAGGACACTGCTCTATCAGGGCTCCCCAAAAGAACCATGAACCACAAAGTCCCCTAAAAGGGATGTGAAATCACTAATACTCCCCACAAAAGGACCAGTGTCTCTAGAGGGCTTTAAAACCTCCCAGCTCCCATCTAGGGGTCACTACGCAGACTGCACTGAACCACAAGGTGGCCTCCGTCCAGCTAACGCCTCCTCTCGGGAGTCTGTTTATATGGTGTGTTCCTCCTCTATCATGACTTCTTTCTCCCCCTGGAGAAAATTTAACCTCACCTTGCCCTCTTCTTCCCTTTCTGTCTGTGTCTGAGTGTGGGGATGGTAGGGTGTGGTAGAGAAGGCTCATGCAGGGGCATTGAGGTTCTCAGGAGCAGCGCTCTGGCCCAGACTCTGTAGGGAGTGCACCTCAGGAGACAGGCCGGGTCAGACAGTCATGCATGGTCACGGACCCGGGCGGCTGCTCTCTGGGTTCACAGGACTGTCTCATCTTATATTTCTGTTGTGTTACCTGCTGAGGAGTGCCTGACTGCTCACGTCAGCTTGTAATAAAGGTACCTCTCATGAAGCCAGTGTGTTGTGTGCCCGCCTCTGTGGTCACCCAGGCTCATGAAGACTGTGGATCGGGTGCAGAAGTGGCATTTTCCTCAGCCGGGGACGGAGAGGTGGCATGGACATGAGCCAGGGGCTCCTCCTCTATGAATATTTCACCCAAGGAAGTGATATTCCTCTTGGGTGTGTCTTGATAAAACAAGGAGATACTTCTGGCATAATGCGAGAGACTTTCTGCCTCCATTGGCCCTGGTTAAGAGCCAGGAAGAGATCCCTTCCCTAGACTCTACCCTCTACACACACACACATGTACATGCATGCGCACGCACACACACTGCAGTTGGCCACGCAGGTGGAAGTAGCTGCTCTTGCGGTCACTCCCCTACAGGTTTGTATCCTGACCCCACATTTACTCCCACAGCAAAGACCAACACAAGACCAGAGGCTAAGACACATGCTTTATGCCCTGAAGTGGTCAGGGAGATTTTCGCAGGGACCCAGCAGGCAGCTGTCACACAGAAGTGACCCCGGTAGAACCAGGAGCCTGTCTAGGAGGGCTTCCTGGAGCAGGTAACACTGAAGGCGGCTTCCAGGCAGGCCCCAGTGGTAGCGCTCACGGCGGGGGGCCAGTGCGAGGACTCAGTTCAGTGCACATACGGTTAGGTTGTTCCCAGGATGGAGAGAGCTGAGTTGTCTTTGATTCCTCTTTCTCATCAGTACACAGAAAGTCACAGACCGCTTGATGGAGTCAGTCTGGATTAGGAGAGGTGTCCAGGGAACAGAGGGTCGTACACCGGGAGGCCCAGCAGAGCAGGGTGAAGCGAGCCCAGGCACCAGAGGCGGGTGGGAGCCGGGAGGTCCTGACCTCTGGCAGATGGGCCAGAGCCCAGCAGATGCGGTCAGACGGCCAGGGCCGGGCTGGTGCCTCCTCCGCTGTTCACCTGCCGCTCCTGGAGCTCCTCTGTTTGCTCATGGCTGTGAGCATCTGGCTGATGTAGGAAGTCAGAAGATCATCCATTTTGTAGCCCTGGAACCAGGGGTGAGAAGGTAAGCGAGGCCCACAGAGGAACACGCCGACCCTCACACATGTGACTCAAGTCCTGTCCCCATCTACACGCTCGAGGGCCCGGGTTCATCTTGTGATCCCTGCAGTTCTGGAGGCCTCTCCAGGGTGACTGCACACACTAGCAGTCAAGCAGCATCTAGGAGGTCTCATCGCTATTGGCTCTTCTGTTTATACCTGAGCTGGAGGCCCACAGCCACCAGCTCTGTCTCCCAAAACTAAAACAGCAGTTGAAGGAGGGATTTGTATCTCTAGCCCAGACTGAACACTTTCCCCCAGATGAAGCTTCAAACAGACCCAACCCTGAGAGGCAGGGACCCACGCCCGCCCGGCACCCGGAAGTGCTCTCACCAGCGATGTCTCACAGAGCAGTTTGCTCCCACGGACCAGGTTCCCAATGGTGATGTGGAAGTAGGTGTTGCCGCTGCTCCAGTTGGAGATCTTGGTGAAGGGGTGAGTAGTCAGAATGTCCTGGGAGAGAGGGAGGCACATGGCTGCACAGTGTGACCCCCTGACTTCAGTGACACCTCTCCCCCCCCTCACAGCCTGCACATTCCTCCTCACAGAAGCCCTGAGTCCTCATAGGAGGAAAGGAACAAGAGGGAGGAGCCAGCTCTGTGTGCAGCTGCCAGGGTGCTTCCCCTCCAGGCCTTGCCTTAGACACCTAAGGAATCCCTGGAGGCTGTTGGGTGCTTAGAGCCAAATATAGAATCTTAAGTGGCCTGGGAGCATTGACATTTGTTGGTTTGAATGAGACAGCCTGGGTGAATTTGGGGAGAAATTGGGACAGAGAAGAAAACAGAAAGGAGCCTGGGAAGGACACGGTGTGCTTGGGGTGTGTACAGCAGAACCCCAGGAACATCTACAAAAGAATGAAGACAGAGCGCCCATGCGCGACCGCAAGGGGAAGATGACAGTCATTACTGATTTCACCAACTATTCAGAAGCACAGCGCCTGGGGACATAGTGGGACCGGCCTTCCTGGTGCACAAGCGTAGGGTGCCACCAGTTACCAACCTGACCAGATGGGCAGAGAGTGTTTTGGAAAGAGGCGGCAGTCTGTGGCACGCAGTGACATTGGGAAGCTGAGCATTAAACAGACTTTGAGGAATTGAGCAGCAAGGGTCTGACGGTAAGTCGAAGGTTACAGTTTTGGTGGTGCAAATGAGTCGGCGGAGCAGGCACAGGCAGCCATTCAAGATGGACACAGGGACTCTGCTGTGGGGACGGTGGCTGTCTGGGACTTTGGTTGGTCCTCTCCAACCTGCTCACCCCTGCCCTGCTCACCTTGGTTCTGGGATCGATGAGGCTGACCCCGTACTTGTTGATGGCAATTAAGAGAATCTCAGGGAAGTTTGGTTCTGTAGTTTGCTGGCAAAGAAAACAGAGACCCCATCAGATGAGAGTTCAGAGCAAGACCGGGGTTCGGAGACAGGCATGAAGCCAGCCTAGCCAGGACAAAATCAACCTGGTCTGCTGCTTATGTGGAACCAGAGGTACAGAAACCCTGCCAGCCCTGCCGTGGCCTCCTGGTTTCCCCCTCCACCCGCAGCCTCGTGGGTCCCCAGCAGAGGTTCCATCCTTTCCCTCCTGCTTCCCTAGGGGGTTGCTACGTCTTCTCAATCCAAAAGTTTCCCAGTGGCCAGAGCCGACATAGGGTGCTCTGGTTCCAGTCCCAAACCTCCAGGGCTTTATTATCCCCTGATGCTCACCTGTTTGCCACCCTGCTTCCCACTACCCTCAGTCACACTTAACCTTCTTCACTTCCTGCCCAGACCTGAGCTCTCAAGGTTTGTGGGCTCTGTCTACACAGGGCCCTTGCCAGAGGAGTTCCTGGAAAGCCCAACATCCCCTGCTCCAGGAAGCCACCCTAGACTACCTCCCCACCCTGGGCACAGCCTCCTCCTCACCCCAGGCACGGCCCTCCTGATCTGCTACCTCACGAGGGCCCGCTATTACAGTACGAGCCACCCTCCATCACTCTGGCCCACGTGTGTGACCATCTCCTTAGCAGGCCAAGCTTCTGGTCCCTCTTAGTGCATCAAAGTCAAGGCAGCTCCACCTTTGTGTGCCAGCCTAAGTTCAAGGCCATCACTGCCACCTTCATGCCAGTCTCTGCCATCTCGCCCCCACCCTTTGCCCCTGCCTGCCCTCTGGAGATCTCCCGAAGGCATACCTTCACCTCGAAGAAGGCTGAGCCGAAGGTGGGCCACTTGAAGATGAGCTTCAGGAACGCTAGCTTGGCCTCTTCTTTGGACTTCCCTGCATGCTTGTTGAAGTATGCGACAATGGACTGTGGGGACAGCGATCAGGGCGAGAATCACCACTCTCGGCCCTACTCCTGCCTGACAACGCCGACAGACCCAGGCAGGGGCCAGACAGTGTTGCCGACTACCACGGTCCCCACTTGCCCCGGCCAACTGCCTTCCGACCCACCCCAACCCATGCAGAAAAGTAAATGCAGGTCTCCTAGACAACCAGGACGGGACAAACTCATGTCACAGGGTCACTAAATCCTTTGGGTGGGGATTAGAGAAGCAGATAGAGATGGGCTAAAGGTGCCCTCGTCACACAAGAGAGGCATTCATTCCCCTTAGCTGCTGGCCAGTATCTGTGCCCCAACTCCTGGGATGGAGACCCCATTCCCACTGCGCCTCTGTGTTTACCCGCTTCCAGTCATCCGGTGAGACCTGCCGGATGAGGTCCTGGGGCACCAGCTCCCTTAGCAACTTGGGGATACTAGGGAAGTAGGACTTGTCCTCCTCAAATTTGACCCTGTAGATGAGGGCACCCAGCTGCAGCACCTCCTCTCGAGTGCACTTGTGGTAGCCTCGGAGATACTTGGGCAACTCCTGCCAGAAACAGAGCAGATGGTAGGCACAGGCAAACCGGAAGAGGGGCTCCCGTAGTCCCCCTACATTTAGGCCCAGCACTTCCTCAGCTGGTCCTGCTTCCTCGCGGGAGATGCACAGGACGGAAAAGGTGTGGTGCGGTCCTAGCACCTGGTAGAGCCAGATTGGAGCATTGTCCACTGCCCTGCTACAGCCAGTGAGGTGGACTGGTGGGTGAGCCTGAGGCAATTCCACATCCCTCCTCTCCTGAACTCGGTACCCCAGGCTTGAATGAGGGCAGGCCTTGCTCCCAAGCACCACAGCAGGTACCACCCCCTTCTCCGCCTCCCAGGAATCCTGGTTTGTTCCTCAGTCAAGGCTAAGCAAGCTGCAGCCCAGGGTGGAGCACTGAGCAGCAGTCACGTCACGAAGCCTGGGAGCCCAGTCCCCCCAGCTGTGCGACCTGAATCACTTGAACTCTGTGTGTTTGCTCCTCCAACATAGGAACATGCCGATTGCAAGGGGTTAGATGGAGGGACAGAGGGAATCCAAAGCTCTGACTGTGAGCTTCCCCAGGTTTCCTGTCTGACAATGCCCACAGAAGCAGAAGGCTTGGACCGACTCAGCCACACCAGCAAACACCTGCATCCAGAGGACTCGGAGCAAGGAGCAGCCTGAGCCAGCAAGGACAAGGACCTCAGAAGAAGAATCAGTCAAGCCTCCCGGACCGGGAGGTGACGAGACAAAGGTCTGAGTTCCTACAACTGTCTGGAGACTCAGCGGTCTCCACAGGAGGCCTTCCCAAGCAGCGGCTGCCAGCCTCACTGGGAAGCCACCAGGTGGGTGGCCCTGAAGCAGGGGGAGCGGAGGTGCAGCTCACCTGGTAATAGTGGAAGATGGAGTCGGCCATGGGGTCCTTGCCCGGCACTGTGGTGGTCCACAGCTTCTTCATGAAGAACACCTGGTAGGTGAGCGAGGGCACGATTCCTGTGGTACGGGACAGCTGGTCACACAGTCTCCTCAGAGAGGGTTCCCTGACTCTGCCAGCCTGGCCCAGAGCCAGCGTGTCCTCCTGTCTCCACGCCGCAAGCATGCCAGAGCCCAGCCCAGCCCCTTACCATCCTTGATGGGTCGTGCTTTCTTTATCCAGTCTGTCAGGTGTCG